TACGTACATCCTTCTTTCCTCACTCAGCCAAACAGTGGAATGCTCTGCCTTCTTTTGTGTTTCCATACTCATACAATCTGTCTCACTTTAAGAAGCTGGTTTTCCGGCATTTTCGTGGTGTAGATCAATATAACCCTTTTTTTTTCTATTTTAAAATTTTTTTACTCCAATTTCTCCCCCCCCCCTAGGCCCCGTTGTGGGTCGATGATATGTGCCCCGTAAAAAAAAAAAGCTGTAGAAACCACATACAAGCAACTCACAGTAAAGTCAATAAACAGTGCGGTATCACATTCGTCAGTCACTCACTATTGCAGCAATGAAAGAAATCTATTATGATCTTGTTTATGAACACTTAATACACTGTCACTAAATGTGGGGCCTGTGGCTCTACAAAAACACAAACCCTGATCACTGCACAGAAGAGAGTTGTGCAGAAAATGACGTACTTGAAAACAAAATAAAAAATTATCACACTAACGAACAATTTGCTAAATTGAAAAGTTAAAATTCGAGGATATAAACACTTAGTGTTGCACCATATTTGCTTATAAATTTGTCAATCACTTGATTGACAATAATTATTTCTAGTTCTGGAATAATCAGAGATAATGTACAACTTGAGACGCTCAGAGCTACTTCATCCTTGACCACCGAAGGGTTAAGACGTACCTGGCGCTGCTCTGGCAGCAGCCAGGTCAACTGTTATGTTGACCCATACTAAGTCCCCCTCCTGAACCCTCCTCCCAACCGGAATATCAACAAGTTCTCGCCAGAAGTTACTATTTTATTTTTGGAAAGGAATGGAACCAGTGTTGAATAGTGGTGAACAGTGCTTAAGTCAGTGAAAAACAACTCAACGGTAATAGCTAAGTCGTTCCCAAGCTAACCGTCACACAGTGAGGTTCTAGGTACCCAGTGATAACTGCCCGTGAAACTCAACAACACGAGCTATGTGTTAATCCGTTCATGATAGGGTGGCCTGGGACCACACGTCACTCACTTGAGTGAATGAGGTCCTGTGACACCAGACCACGTGGTGTCCCCTTGGTGCTACAAAACCACGTAGTGGATGTGTTGCTACAGCTTTATGTGAGGTTCCTTATAACACCATCTGTGAAGGAATTGCTACATCACATCCGGTTTCTCATAACACCATCTGTGAGGGAATTACTACACCCTGTGATGCCCCTTATAACACCATCTGTGAGGGAATTACTACACCACATTAGGCCCCTCAGAACACCATCTGTGAGGGAATTATTACACCACGTCTAACCCCTTATAACACCACCTGTGAGGGAACTACTATACCACATGATGCCCCTCATAACACCATCTGTGAGTTACTACACTACGTGTTTGCTGTTCATCACCCCAGCGCACAAGATCTACGTGACCTCCACTGAAAACATTAATCTGTACGTTCACTGTACGCTCCCTTCCTTTAAATCATCTCTAAAAATATCTATTGTCAAAGTATTAATATTTTTATGATACCTACTTAATATTCCTACTTTTATTGCACCACCAAAACCATTATATAAAAAATTGTCATGTTGATAGATATAAACTACCATTGCAATGAATATATATTTGCCGTCAAGACATGATACTGATAGTTCCTGTCCTCTTGTTTCACCTTAATACATCCCATGTTGTATTATTTCCCTCCTGTATCATATTAATGTATATCAACTCCACTGTAAAATAGGTATATATATATATATATATATATATATATATATATATATATATATATATATATATATATATATATATATATATATATATATATATATATATATATATATATATATATATATATATATATATATATATATATATATATATATATATATATATATATATATATATATATATATATATATATATATATATATATATATATATATATATATATATATATAATGTCAATGTAAAATAATTAATAAAATCAATAAATAAAGATGTGATAACCGTGGTAATATTCCGTTATGTTCTTACGTCCACCATGTTATGTGTGCTAAAAGTTACATAATAATTCCTTGAGACAAATGTACAGTATATATTAGGTGCCTTCAAGAGAGTTCAGACTCTCAACTGGCTCAGCCATGTCAGTATTGTTAATATCATCGACTCTTTATCTGTATTTTTCTCGCTAAAAAAACTGTTTCAATATCAATATCAATAACAGACGGAGGTATAGTAACCAGATGGGGAGGTTTTTTTTTCATTTATTGGGCACCCCCCACATCCTTGTGTAAGGTGAAGCGCTGAAGCGTTTACAGCACCCAACAGGGAAGCATGCTAAGTTCATGCTTGCCTTATGTCTCATGAGTTAAGGGCGGGGAGGGTGAACAGGCAGTCACGTTATAAATGTCCACAGGTCAGGTCGGTGGCACAAGCCCAACACCTGGCAGCAGGATGAGAGAGAGGTGGACACTGTAAGCTGAGTGAGGAGCAGTATAGCTTACCACAATCAAAAGTGACCATTGGGGGCGACGGCAGGCACGGTGGCGATCCAAAGCGACGGAGGAGATTTGTGATGGAAAGTGACGAGCAGGTGGGTGGCGACGGAAAGGACAGTGTCGATTAGAAGTGACAGTTGGAAGAGTGGGAGAAGAAGAGACATTAGTGATTGGTAGTGACAGTGGGGAGAGCGGTAACTGAATGAACAGTGGCGACTAAGGTAACGGAAGGGACAGAAAAATCGGGAGTAGTGTCCTACGTGGACGGATTCGGTGAAGAGAGCTGATTTGAATCTGAAGTACTCTTCTCATACCATGTACATAAGTATGTTCTTGATAATGATTTGTTGAAAAATTTATTGTTATTTGAAAATACAGTTATAAATGTAAACGTTGCTTCTGTTATTGACCTACCAGTACATAGGGCAACCCTACACATAATAATATCTCTGACAGCGTGAATTTGATTATAGTGTAGAAGCTGTCGCCAACACAACAACCACACCCTAAGTTAATGAGTTGCATGACCCAGGGTCAATGAATAAACCAAGAAGATCGAACAGCTCGCCAACTGCATTGGCTACCCATTACCCCGGAACAGGATCCGCAAATCGATCAACATCCAGGTTCCTAATTACTGCTGTGTAGACAGAGGCAATTAGTGTAAAGAAACATGCCCATGTTTCACTCTACCCAGGTAATGAACTCAGGTCGACTCACTCGCGAGGTGAGTATGCTGACCAATACACCATACAATAGAGTGTTAGTTACAAGACTAGCGAGGTTATCCTAAAACTATATCTTGTGCTTGTGAGACCTTACTTGGATTACGCGGTTCAGTTTTGGCCACAGTACTACAGAATGGATATAGAATACTTAGAAAGAGTTCAGAAGAGAATGACAAGACTAATCCCGTGCATTAGGAATCTTGAGTACAAAGACAGGAAAAGCATCTTAATTTGCACTGCCTCGAGAGACGTAGAGTGAGGGCCGATATAACAAATGTACTCAAACTATCAAACCAGGAGCGAACTAATAGCAATAGTTTTAAATTAGACAAATTTAAATTTAGGAGCGAGATAGGTAAACACTGGTTTGGAAATAGACGAGCGGATGGGTGGAACAAGTTACCAAACATCATCATTCACTCGAATACGTTGGATAGCTTCAAATATAGGTTGGATGGATATATGAGCGATAGGGGGTTGGCTGTAAACAGGACTGCCCAGTATGGGCGAATAGGCCCGCTGCAGTTTCCTCTATTCTTATGTTCTTATCTCATGTACTACCACCATCACCACCACCACCATCACCCTCTCGGCAAGGCCCGTGGCTCCCTCATTTAAGCTTTACAAAACCAAATATGGGCATACAAACTCGTATTACCAATTAAGGAATTTGTTGACAAAACTACTAGAAAAAAATAACCTTAATATATAGTAATAAAGAGTCGTTGTAAAATATCATAACTACATTTATCAAATCTTGAAAAGTATTCATGCAGAAACTTTATTATAATGAGAATGACGCATATTTTAAATATATATATATATATATATATATATATATATATATATATATATATATATATATATATATATATATATATATATATATATATATATATATATATATATATATATATATATATATATATAAACCTGAGTTCTTTATATGGAGGATCTATCATAAAGTTTTCAAATGTTCTAAGAGATGTATTATGACGTCATATCCTTAGGTGTGACTAAATGACTTTACTTTTCCGCCGTATTAAAACCGCCCACGAGAGGCAGTAACACTTGGACTGTCGTGGGACACCCATATGTCAAACTGATGCTTACCACAAACCAGATTGTTACATTTGCGTTTTGACTGTATTTGTGCATACACTCTGGACATACGGCGTTTACTGTTGTTTTAAAGTGTTAATACAGAATGTATTTTTCGAAACTGGTGTTTGCATGAATTTCTCGATTCTTGGAGGTCACATACAAACACACCCCAGTATCTTAATTACCACTGGTGCTCATTAGCAGTTGATTTCGACTGGGATTCCTGGGATCATTGTTAGTTAAAACAAGTGGAATTTGTGAACTATTCTCCTGGAATAAACCGTTCACCTGTGTTCCGTTGTCTCAACCGACACGCCCAAAGGTTTCTGAAAACAAATTGGCCTCCCCAAATGGCGTTTATACATCTCTACCACCATGTGCTACCACCATAACCACCACCTTGTACTACCAACATCACCTTCACCATGTACTCCCACCATCACTACCACCATGTACTCCTACCATCACTACCACCATGTACTACCAACATAACTACTAACATGTACTATCAACATCACCACCACCAGCATCAGTATCTCACTATAATTGACCATCACCATCATCACCAGCACTATCACCCTCACCCTCACCATCACCATCACCTACATCATCACCATCAACTTTAAATTTACCATCATAACAATCATCACCATCACTGTCAACACCATCAACTTCACCATCATAGTCATGCAATACTTACTGTCCTCGTCTGTTGTGCCATTCATGCATGTGTCACTAGTGTAGCTACTGTTCGTCTTGGAGGCCACACACACGTGGTAGGTGGTCCAGGCCTCCAGCTGGGTGATGATGTAGCTCAGCGAGGTGGTAGTAGTTGTATTACTACCATCACCGTTACTGGCGGGACTCCAGGTGATCTTGTAGGTGACGTCACAGTTGCCGACGTCTTGTACCTCCGACCAGTTCACGTCCAGCAGAGTGGAGTTGTCTGTATAGTTGTTCACGTTGACGCCAGTGACTGGGTCAGGGTCTGGGGGGATAATGTACAGCAGCAGTTAGTGAGTATTTTGGGTGTGATGCTGTGGACGTGTTTCATTAAGTAAAATACAATGTTGTAGTGAGACTATCTAGTATCTATTTGTTCCTCAAGGAAGTGAAGGTGTTATAGTTAGAGCCCCGGGCAGGACCATTCATCACAATATATGGTACACAGTAATTAAGAACTATCCATGTCTTTCACAGGAGTAAGAAACGTACAGACAGTACAAGGTTGTGGTGCTCGCCACACTAAGTACTCCCACGCATTAACTTTTCTGTTACAAGAGACTTGCTGCCCTGCCTCTTTCCTCAGTGATCCAAATAATCTTTACTGTATACAACAAAAAAATTATGGAAGTGGCTGAAGCTGTCCACTTACTTATGTCTGTAGTTTACAATCGTCTGGCGCCACCAACGACAACTGGTCATTGACGTCAGAAATAATAACTTGTTATATTTGTCTTTTTTCCTGAATTATAACGGCTTAGGAAACACACAGACAAATTGTATATGTTAGCCTTGTTAATAATTAGTCCTTAGTCTGTACTCACCTCTGAAGATGTGAATTGCACGAAAGCGCTTGGGAACTTGTTTTCTATGTGGTTATCAGCATATACATGGATCAATCCCACCTACAGTAATTTATTTGCATATATATATATATATATATATATATATATATATATATATATTCATCTTCTCTACGTATTTATTCATCCACTAATCATGTCACATATCCAACACTGGATCTGCCCACTTGTCAATCCAGTCACTCGTCTATCAATGTATGAAGGGAGTCGTGAAGGAAGTAAGACTGGCTAACACTCAAGTGGTCGGTGTAAAGGAAGGACACAGAAAGATCAGAGGTATGTCAAGATTAATTATATACTAACTTACACGAGAGCGGAACCTATTAGTGAGAGTGAAGGCTCTAAGGTGTTATTCGTGCAATATATTAATCTATTACACAAAAAATGCGGGTGAATATTGAGGTGTTGGCGTAGGGCGAGCAGTTACCTTGATATAGAAGAGCCACCAGAGGAGGCAACTAAGAGTTAACCAGGTTATCAGGACTAACACAAGAACGCCTCTGAACTGATATTTGTGTATCTGTTGGGCTCAAAGAGCGAAGACTAACCACAACGCGTTGTGGTTGTTTGGAAAATAACGAAATAGCGAAATTTTAGGTAAGGTTCGGTTAGGTTACGTTTGTTTGGGTTGAGTTTGATGAGGTTTAGTTAAATTAGGTTAGGATAGGTTAGGTTGTATCTATTGGGTAAAACCGAAGACGCAATTTTCCCTTTCTGGATCTTTAGAAAATATCCACAACACGCTGTGGTCGTTTTCGATCTTTGAGCCCAACAGCAATCAAATAACGAAATGAATTATCTAGAGGTAAAAAAATTATAGTAACATTTCTATTTCATGGTGTTTCGGAAGTACAAAAAGACAAAAAGTATGTAAACATTAGTGCCAGTTGTAGGTATTAAGGCTAAGTAGACATTCTAGAGCGATGGATGTTAACAGTGTGAGGCTAGAGTTAATATAAACAAACAGAGATTAAGAAGAGACTCAACAGGACTCGACTCTCCAGTAAGTATAAACACAATTGGGAGGATCAATACTTAAGCTCGGGGGATCATCGTGACTTTACACCTCTGAGTGGGGACTGAATTATATTCACGTGAACTTCCATGTCCTCTTGTCAGACGTCATCACTGTGTACATCTTGATATTCAGAGTTACTCCAATATTTCCTTTATACCAGACTGACCATTATAACGATGATTAAAACCTGAGTTCCAAGTTGACTAAAACTATAAGAAATATTAAATCTATCTATGTAAAAGTGTGTGACACAAGGTTAACATAATATGCAAAACGCGCCTGATATGTCTATGTTTGTCTCGTTATCTCTATATATCTACTGATTTAATTCACCTTCTAAACCAAGATATGGCTTACCTAAGACACACACACAGACACACCCCATATTATTATTATTATTATTATTATTATTATTATTATTATTATTATTTTTATTATTATTATTATTACTATTATTATTATTATTATTATTATTATTATTATTATTATTATTATTAATAGTATTATTATTATTATTATTATTATTATTATTATTATTATTATTATTATAATAATAATAATAATAATATTATTATTATTATTATTATTATTATTATTATTATTATTATTATTATTATCATTATTATTATTATTATTATTATTATTATTATTATTAATTATTATTATTATTATTATTAAACCACACAACAACCAACACCACACACACACACCACACACACACACACACACCACCACACACACACACACACACACACCACCACACACACACACCACACACACACACACCACCCACACCCACACACACCACACACACCACACACACACACCACCACACACACACACACACACCACACCACACACCACACCACACTATTATTATTATTATTATTATTGTTATTATCATTATTATTATTATTATTATTATTATTATTATTATTGTTATTATTATTATTATTATTATTATCATTATTATTATTATCATTATTATTATTATTATTATTATTATTATTATTATTATTATTATTATTATTATTATTATTATTATTATTATTATTATTATTATTATTATTATTATTATTAACTTGTCATACTCCACGTATCAACAATTCTTGAACAACCTTAAATCACAACTGGATATATTGCCTAAAAGAGATGATGTTTTTATTGTTAAGACAACTGTGTTTTTTTTATTGGTAAAATTTACTTTGTTTCATTTGAGGCGTCGTTAACTATCATAACATTACCATATTATACCTAAATTAGTTACAGTGGTACTGTTTTTATTTGTAGTTTGTGTGAAGGCTTTTAACAATCCTCATATAATCTCTTTTTGCACAGACCAGTTTGTGTTAAAAAAAAATGAAAGAAAATGTGTGTGCATGTAAAAATAATAAAATTTAACAGTTTATTGAAAAAGCATGGTAGACAGATGAAAATATATAGTTATATAATTGGGGAATGGATCACTTGAATGACGAATAATATACAAGCAACCTAAATGATACAAATATGATATATTATAACAAGGAGGGGATAACTAAAGGGCATTTCAGCATAGTGACAGTGCTAAAAGGTAAGATTGGCTGGGAGTGAACACACTGGCTGACCACAAGTTGTTGTTGATTCTTACAATGGATGGGACTGCACTGTTCTTATAGCGATCAGTACTTGCTCGTATGGGCTAGATGTGGTTGTTGTCTCGAACGGCAATTCGCGGTCGAGGGATCTCGGGTGTAAGCAGAGGCAGGTGTCGAGGATGATGCAGAAACTTCTCACCAAATTTACAGATGAGGTCGTGGTGATGATCAGAGATAGCCTAGATGGTCGGTGTGTGTGTGTGTGTGTGTGTGTGTGTGTGCGTGTGTGTGGGTGCATGTGTGTGGTTATGTATGTATGTATGTTTGCACATGTGTGTGCATCAATAACTACTTGGCAGAAGGTACATTCTAGACACTTACCTTTACTATCAGTAGTTCCAGTTGCTGCCTTACTCTCAGGACCATAACCTTTGCTTGTAGCAGCCGTGACGGTGACGCTGTAGTTGGTACAGGGAGTCAGGTCGGTGATGGTGTAGCTGGTGGTGGTGTCATTGGTTATGTCATGGTCTTTATTCCCCTCCCAGGTCCAGCTAACATTATACTTGGTGATGATGCCGTTGGGGTTTTCTGGGGGACTCCATGATACTTTTATTGACGAGAACGAGAATGGCATCACAGACGTGATGACTGGAGGTCCTGGTGCTGTAACATATTGTCACGATAACCATGAATACCTTAATATATATATAACTTATATTTAACTATATTTCGAGTCGAAAATTCATTCTTTACTGCGCATGATGTCATCTGGCCGGCAGCCCCAGGGGGGTGGGGGTGTATCCTCTGTTATCACCTGGCCGTCGTGGTGTAAGGATCTATGACAATGCCTGGTAAATGGTCCGTATTTGGATGTATATTAAATTGCAAACTAAATGATAAAAGTTAAGATATTCGATTTCCAATGGAATAAAAGGAGCAAAAAGTGGATTTTATTGTTCATGCAGCAAATATATAGGGTACAACAGGAGGTAAAGGCAATATTTGAGAGCCATTGGCAGGTTTAAATTTTCTATTCTCTAAAGTCTAACTTTCGGCCAGGAAACCGGATGTGGAGAGATAAGTACCTATTCGTTGTTTGAAACTGTTATATAGCCTAGTCATCTATATTATATCTAGTGGCCATATTGATAAATTGAAAACCTCTACACATATAAACTTGTATTCACTGATTTACTGAAATAGCTTGGAAAGAGAAGGAATGATGATAATTATTATCTTCTTGTATTCCTTTTGACTCCTCAGTAAACAGATGGCCCAAATCCCTATGATTAATTAATTGATTTACATTGATAATGGCAGGAAAATCATAAAAGTATAAATCATAATAAAGAGAGGAAGAAGAGGATTGTTAACAATAATTATAATATAGGAATATCATAAAAATAATGATTGCACAGAAGTTCAGGTGGCTAACTTCAGTAAAATATTGTGAGCTAGGGGATGAGAAAATCAGGTTATATGGCAAGAATATCTTCTAATATAGTGGGGGGGTAGTCTCACCAGGGATAATATAAGAGTGTCGCCTTACACACCGTTTTCTTCCACTGCGGCCAACGGCTTCACAATTAATAAGAGGGGGTAGACTTTGTTAAATTTAACTTTGCTAGTGACTATTTGTTGTAAACAGATCGAGACACGAGGCAGGGGTGCAGAACAGTTGCAGGGCATTTTTGCACCCTGGGCAAGGTTCACGAAAGGTGTCCACTTCTTTTTATTTGGTGTAATATATATATATATATATATATATATATATATATATATATATATATATATATATATATATATATATATATATATATATATATATATATGCAAGTAAATCACTGTAGGTGCGCGTGATCTAGGTATAATCACAAGGACCAGTGTTGTGGTTCGAGTTCAGGGTGACTACAGACCAGTCTGTACCTCAGCATGGAATGGCACGAGCTGCTTGCTAAACTGTGCCTTCTTCTTCTGTATATATATATATATATATATATATTTATATATATATATTTATATATATATATATATATATATATATATATATATATTTATATATATATATATATAATATATATATATATATATATATATATAATATATATATATATATATATATATATATATATATATATATATATATATATATATATATATATATTTCATGTAAATCCACAATGAAAACGTGGATAGTCTTGATTTGTTTTATTCAAGACATTCAGAGGGCAACTGAAGATGTCTTGAATAAAGACGAAAGCTAAGGTACCTGTTGTTTCCATTTTCCTGTGATTTTATCATATATATATATATATATATATATATATATATATATATATATATATATATATATATATATATATATATATACAATCAACACCTCAACCCGTCAGGATTCGAATCCACGGCCCACTAGCCTATAAATGTGACCGGGGAATGTTAACCCTTGGACCACCAATATACTTAAAGTAGTCCCAGACTTTGTTATATTTCACACAAAGCCTGTTCAACGAGCTTATGGCGCCGTGAACCTCTAATGGGGACTACCCGTATCACGTAGGTGGTCAGAGTAACGTTTTACCAAATCTGGCTTCGAAACACGAGGATCCATATATATTTCATCAGCCCAATAGCACACGGACTTCTACATACAATCAACACCTCAACCCTCCCGGATTCGAACCCACGGCCCACTAGCCCATGACTGTGACAGGGGAACGTTAACCGCTGGACCACCAATATACTTAAAGCAGTCCTAGACTTTGTTATATTTCACACAAAGCCTGTTGAACGAGCTTATGGCGCCGTGAACCTCTAATGGGGACTACCCTTATCACCTCTAGGTAGTCAGAGTAAAGTTTTACCAAATCCGGCTTCGAAACACGAGGATCCATATATATTTCATGAACCCACGGCCCACGAGCACATGGGCTCGATGTCTTACTATTTTCAAACAAACTCATTGAGTTTGATCAGTTTTCACAAGATATGAATAAAAAGCACAACTCATATTACTTAAACACTCAAGTTCTTTGTGTTCACTTTCTATTAAACTTGCAAACACAAATTGTCAAAAACAAATATGGCAACGTCTAGCCTTAGCTGATCAAAAAGCAAACCTCACACACTGACGTTCAGACAATAAGCCAGTGGACGTCTATGACCTGTGAGTCTGATTCTGTTCACAGTAGTCGACGTCACGAATTGCCGGCCAGCCGGTGAATGCCCAATATTTGCCAACAGTGCGTAACAGAGACGTGACCGATCGCCCAAGCGGGTAACGAGCCGATTAAATGGTGAAGAGGATAAAATAAAAATATAAGTAACAGAGACGTGACGGATAGCTCAAGCTGTTGACGAGACGATCAGTGGTGAAGAGAATAAAAGAAAATAAAGAAATACAGTCTGCCACACGGCCGTCCCTGGAAACGAACTAGCGAAGGGGACTGTACTTTCGTTCTGTGAGACCAAACTCACTACAATATTGAACATTGAATAACATCCCTAATTATACGGGACACTGCATCAATAAGTCACTGCAAAGTGGTGGTGTCGTGCTGTATGCTAATATTAAGTGTAACACTTCTGTAAGAGAAGATTTAAAGGTTCAGGAGGAGTTAACGGAGAGTGTTTTCACTGAACTGCATAGCGACACACGAAATATCCTAGAAGGAGTAATCTGTAGAAGACTCCATAAAAAATGTAACGAACTTTCTTGGTAAATTATTATCGGAGCTTATCTCTATCATAAGTTCAGAGAGGAAACTTTGCTACTTTACAGGAGATTTCAACCTTCATCTACTAAAATCAGAGATGGACACCTCAGTATTAGACCTTCTTGCTACCTGTCATTCTAAACTCTTCTTCAACACCATAACCAAACCCACTCGAGTAACTGCCACCTCTGCCACTGTGATTGATCATATTTGGACTAATAACACTCCTAACAATCTTGCAAGTGGAATTATTAATAACTATATTTAAGATCACTTCCCAGTGTTTGCCATGTATAAAACAGCCACAAGTTCTGAAAGTGTCTAGGAAAGTCACAACAAACAGAGACTACTGTGCTGACAACATGCTCCTGCTCGATGACAACTTAATGGATGGAAAGTGGGATCTTGTTTATGCTTCGGACAACCCTATCGTGATCTACTGCAACTTCTCTTGCATCTTCAATGCTTGCTTTGATAAATGGTTCCGCCCTCAAGACTAAGTTAGTAAAAACTGTATCTATCTCCAAACCCCATATTATAAGTGAAATCAAGGCAACATAAACTCCAAAGAAAATTTGCAAAAAGACTCATAACTTTCGGTGATGCTAACCGAAGTATCAGAAATAGAGTGACTCAAGCAGTTAGAAATGACAAACGTAGGTATTATACAAATAAGGTCCAGGCAGCATCGAGAAACAGTAAGAAAACCTGAAGTGTCATAAATTTTATTCAGAACAGGAACTCTCACACTACGGCCCCCCACTCGGCTTTTATGATAAATGGTACAGTTATAACGGAACCCTCCCTTCAATGATTATTTTATCAATGTTGGCAAAAATCTTTCAGAGAGCATCCCTAATTAACATGAGGAATTTACAGACTACCTGCAAAACAGGCAGGAAAACGAGATGTTCGTATCCCCTGTCACGGCAGATGAATTATTGACCACCATAAAAATGTCCAAAGATGCAGCAGCAGGCGATTACAATATACCACTGAGCCTCATTAAGATAGTAGCCTACCTATTACTACTAGTTCTCTTACACACTTGTAACTCCTTCACTAATGGTGTTTTTCCGTATAAACTGAAAATTGCTTGGGTTCACCCAGCATATAACAAATCTGGGGACAATGGTCTTTTTAATAATTACCGCTCCATATCAATCAACCCAGCTTTAAGTAAGAGACTGAAGAAGCTAGCATGTAGTAGACTAAATTCCTTCTGTTGTGTCAATAACATCCTTACAGACTCTCAGTTTGTATTTAGAGCTGGAAGGTCAACTGAGAGGGCTCTGCTATCCTTTACTAATGACACCCAAAACTCTTTTGATGACAGTCAGTCCACAGTCGAAATATTCCTGGATCTCTCTAAAGCCTTTGATGCTGTCGACCATTCCATCCTTCTGTCAAAGCTTGAATGTTATGGCGTTAGGGGCTTATCCCACAATTAATGTACTTCATATCTATCTAACAGGAAGCAGTATGTGTGCTTTAATAATCATCTATCTGACTCTTCACCAACTTTGCATGGCGCCCCCCAAGGCTCCATTCTCGGTCCTGTACTGTTCTTGGTATGCATAAATGATTAGTCCACTCCAGCACACTCGTCAAATACAACTCATTTGCAGACGATAGTAATCTCTATGCCAGCAACTGAGATCGCCATTCCTTGATGAGAACTATGAACACTAAATTGACTAAATTCAGGACCTGGATGTACGTAATGAACGGACCTTAAGCCTCGAAAAAACCCACTACACAATCTTTCACAGAAGGAAAAACTTTCCTGCATATTTGACCCCTTGTGTGTCTGTAATACAGTCTTCAAACGTGAACCAAATACTAAATTCCTTGAGGTCATTGTTGATGATAAACTAAGCTAGGTCTCACCATTTCCTCTAATACGTCATGGAAACCAAACATCCACAACATTGTTAAAGCTGCCTC